TAAGACTGTCCTGCCCAAACTGCAAAATAAAGCTTTTACATCGGATTTGTTTCAATCCCATGTAAAGAAAATCTAAGACATCTACTGAAGCACTGCCACAAACTCCAACTGCAGTAAATCCACAAGTAAAGAAAGATAAATGTGCCCTTTTCAGCTTATTTTACTGTAACACAGAGCTTACTTTATAATCTGCATCTAAATGCAACAAATAATGCAACAAAATGGTTTCTTGATTGCAATTTTTGATTATTAGCATTAGCTTCAGATGACAGATACAAATTACAGTAATCAAATCCATAGCTCATGAATATGCAGGAAAAGGTACTGTTTATAATGGTGCACAATCTTGTATGCAGGGATTTAGCATTTGGGTAAGAATGCTGAAGAAATGCAGAACATGCTAGGATTACAGCCTGACAATTGAACCGTAAGTGAACCTGATGAAAAAGTGTTTTCTGTTTCTTCCAAGAGTTTATTTACCTCCACCCATCATTGCAGCATTACTTGGATTTAATAAGTTAGTTGTTTTTTTCAGCCATCACAACAGCTCTTCAAATACACTACTAGATTGAGACCAGAATAATGGGTTTTACTGGAATAACCAACCACATATATGTCTGTACATACAGACCTGTATGTTGTAGACCAACACGTGTTACTCCTCATAGACATTGATTAAGCAAAACAAAAAAAAAAAAAAAAAAAAAAAAAAAAGGGGGGGCTGGTAAAATGTTTCAAGAAAAAATTTAAAAGGGTAGAGTCATCTACCCAAGTGACATCCAGCTTAAAAGGAAGACCCTAATTTATTTCAGAAAGGTACTTGAAATAAGATTTTCATTTGGGAGCCATTAATCTCAAGTACCATGAAAGATAGAAACAATCACTTCTGATATATGTTCCCAAATTGGCACAGTTGTCCCAATCATGTAGCATGTGAACTCTTAACAATGATTAATATACAGAGAGCTGCAAAATCATTATTACAGCCACTGCCACACATTTCTAGCACACTAAGTATAATGTTAAGACAAAATACTAAATCCCACTCTCTGTCCTCATGGCTGTATTATTCCTTGGGGAACTTCTAGAGTTGGTGGGCAGGACTCTGCAATATAAACATCTTTGCTGAACCATGTGGAAGGAATGCACAAGTTACGTGAATCACAGAAACATTAATCTCAATTTAGGTCAGCTATGATATTGCATGTTTTTGATTGGATTTAGAGCTTTAGCATCCCTGGTGCTTTACACCCTGTCAGTCAAGCACAGGGGTACCCACGAGCCTTACAGCCCTTTACAGCCCCTCTGCAGTTGCTGTAAGTGGGGTGCATGTGGGAGGAGATCCCCCACACTCCCTGCACTGCAGCACACAGGGTGCTTGGGCACTGCTTGCTGCCTGCACAACATGTCACCTATGGCTACTGCACCAATCTGGTAAATGATACAAATAAAGTGGCAAAATAACATATGCTGAAAAACACCTACAAATCAACACCAAAATAAATATATGGAGTGTTTCTACTGATTTGCACTATAGGAAAACCCTGCTAATAGTGAAAGGTTTAGGAGCTTCCCCTGTGTTCTGTAAAACTGTTCCCAAGACTATATTCCCCATCTTTGTCCTCCTCTCCTGTGTGCACATTCTAGCTCAAGCACAGAGCTTTCTACACTGCCTAAGTAGGCTGACACGAGGCCAGGACCCCCACACTCCCCCACTCCACCACCTTGCCTCTAAGGGACACTCGTGGAACAGTATCTGTGGTTAGCACACTCCTGGACACAGGAGCAGGTACCTCCAGGCCAAACCCTCCAAGGAAAACTAGTTTCCAGTAAGCATCTGCAAAAGCAATGTGGAAATAATCATGGTATCCTGTTAATTTATCTCTTAAATACTTTTCAAGATACTTTAACCAAAGCAGGTGTTATTTTCATCTCCAGGGAACTATTTGTAGCAATAATATTTAGCTATTACTTTTCCAAATTGCTCAGTCTTTTTTGAAGGAGTGTAATTTCAATTCCTTCTAGTGGCACTGATTTAAGTATGTAGTCACTCTTTTCTAAACATGCCTAATGCTTTTCTGAAACTTCAAGAACAATCACTATATAAATTCAACTACTATAATCATGCTTATTTTATAAGGTTAAATAAAACAGATCTGCAATTCCCTTTGAATTCAAGGTTCCGATTGCTGCTAACCTAGGGCACAAACTGCAATGCAGCATTTCATGTTAGTGTGAAGAAGAGGAAGTACCTTTAAACTTTTATAAACAACACTCTCAAGGATTATTTGGGATTTTTCCAAGTGTATTCATTGTTTCAGAAGATAATTTTTTTTTAATTGACGCAAAGGTTTAATATGGCTGTAGTCCTACTGACTGAGCATGTTTAAAATGAAAAAAACTAGCACTATATCTGGCTGGAGACCTCACCAGGAAAATAAAGGCAGAACTAATGCTAACTGGTACCAGCTCCACATTTTATCTTTCCTGCCATTTTACTTCAAATCCATGTTTTGTTCAGAGATCAACAGTAAAACAGTTCCTCCTCACAAATCAGCAGTAATCCTCTTTTTCAAATCAGTAACTACGCTCAGGTCTAAGCTTGAGGCTAGCCCCAGTATAACTGGAATCCCAGTGCCACACTCTTGAGCCCATAACAGAAAACCCTAATGAAGGAACCTTACTCATGAATTAATGAGGACTCTTCATTTTCAAACTTCTCCCTCAATCTCACTTTCAGTTCCAGAATTTGGTATAAATACAAAAAATCACCTGCCAGCTGCAGCTGTCAGGTGCACCACAACCTCCCCTCGCACTCTGGCTTCTCAAAACCCACTCTTCTCCTCCATCACCTATATTTGCTTATTACTCACCATCACTTCCATACCTGGTCAGCAACAGAAAATAGAAGGTATTCTAAGAGGTTAAAGCAAATACAGATGACAGCTATTGGAAAACACTTATTTAAAAGCACACCTCTTCCATTTACCACAGCAGCATTCCTTCCAACCAGACACTGCAATCCCCTCCCAGGCCCGACTGCACTTGCGCCCATCAACATAAGCAAAGCTCGCCAAGCTAAAGCCTGAGAATGGACCCACTACAGCAGGAAGATGGTGATCAGCACTAAAAACCTCCTTTTACTTTCTTAGCTATCTTCTCCCTTGTCACCCCCAGAGACAGGGAGCAGCTAACAGCAGTACATTGAACTCCAGAGTTTGAGTCTTTCAAAATCGCTCAAATCTCTAAAGGCATGTCTGCACTCGTCCAAATTCAAGCAGAAGACTTTATTAAGAGAGAAGCAAAACCAGCTAGTCTTCTTGACCAGAAAAGAAAGGGAAAAAAAAAAAAAAACAAAAAAAAAAAAAAAGAAAAAAAAACCAAAAAAAACCACCATTAAATCAGTGAAGCAATGCCAAGCCCTATTTTGAACAAGAGGTAAACCTTCAAGTCTTTTCAGCTGAGTTGTGAGTATATCACATATAAAATCGCAAAAACTATTTAATTTTTTGAGCTCAGAGCACTTCAGTTTGCATCTCCAGAAGTTTTGATTAATATAAGAATGATATGACAGTGGTGTTTCCAGTCATAACTTATACTGTGGCCTAAATTAGAAATTCCCATCTTCATAACAAGTCAATTTTGGCAGAAGGTACAAAGAAATTACTACAATTGCACACACAGGGACAATGTTAGAAATATAGTCAAGCACAGCATAATATTCCACCTAGAATTATATCTTCAAGCCTGGTAAATCCCAAGTAATTATCTTTCTTCTCTTCTGCTAGAAATTAGAGAGTACCCTCTACTTAGTCAAACCTGAGTTTGAAATCTCCAGCTTCTAGTTATGTGCTTTCAGACCCTTATTAAAAATGTTTTCAATGTAACAGCCTAATTATCTTGTATACATGCACAGAATCCATGAATTATTCATAATTCATGGCAAAAATAAGTTTCACACAGGACTGATTAAAATTAAATAAAATAGAAAAAAATTTGTATCATGTGTTCATTTAGGTGCAGGTCATTTGTTCACAGAAAAGCAGTATTTTTAAAAATACTGCAACTTCTATTTTCTGTGATTAACTCCTAAAAAATGCATACAATATGCTTGACTAAGAATAAGCAACAAACCTAATAAGGTGTAGAGGAGGGAAAAAAACCCAAACAGGTTCTTAGAAACTGCACAACTTTTCTATCAGAACCTGCTGATTTTAAGCACCTGGGATCTCTCAAATGGGTTTCCTACCCAAGTGCAGATCAAAGAAGGGGGCTGTACTATTTCTTGCTAGCTTTGAATAACTAGAGCACAACCAAGGCTACAGGCAGGTACATGGAGATAGTGTCTTGAACTCCATTACAGAGAAAAATCTACATTTTTTCTGTAAGAGTAGAGAAAAAAGAAAATATTTTGATGACTAGAAAGAGATTAAAATATGGCATGTTTTTTTGACTGGTTTAGCATATTTAGATAGCATACACTAACAATTCCCCAGCCAGGGCTGCATCAAGCCAATCAAAGTTTTAAGCCATTTCATCTAAACATAAGGCTCCATCCACGTATTTTTGTAAAACACTTCAAATAAATTAATTTAACTTCGCCAGTTTTCCTGTAGCAACCAACAGGCCTTTGGTTTGTGTCTTCTATATTAATAGCAACTGCAGTGTTAAAAACACAATGGAAGTTTCAATAACTGAAAAGAATTTTGGGTTTTTTAAATAAACCCCTCATACTTTTTTAAATATCAATATGTCTGGACTGATAGAAGCTTGCAAGTATCCAAATAACAACCTTGTATGCATACCTACATATATATATACACACTCTTGTATATGAAACCTTGAAGCCAAAAATACTGTTCTTGAAGAAGTCTACCTCAAAGTCTTTGTATTTGGATTCTCAGACTGTTCTTGTACTCTGTGTACTACATTTTGATTCAGAAGAAAAATTATGTATACTTACACAATTGAAAATATTCCATTAAATAACATAATTTTTATTTTCCAGGAACATGGGGCTTTGCTTTCTAAAGAAGAAATCCTCGGCTCGGCAGAGAGTCTTACAGCTGTTTTCACAGGCTTTTTCCTAGAGAAATGTAACTCCCAGCCATGCACAGATTAAAGCCCCAGCAGAGAAGAGTAGGACAAACAACTGCACACACAAATTGGTTACACACAGCACCTGCACCTGGGCACTGAGCTGCTCCAGGGCTGCACCTGACAGGCTGCCAGGAGAGCTCCCAGGGAAGATCCTGATCTATATATAGTGAGCTGGTCAGATACACAGAGGTCATGAACTTTCATGGGTTAAGACACAGAGCAAGATGCACCAGCTGCAAGAGACTGATAAAGCCAGCCAGGGCCTTTGCTGTCCTCCAAACTCGCAGCATGTCCAATACACAGACCCCAACTCCTCTAAAATGAAATCAAAGCTTTGCTGTACTTTCACACACTAGTGATGAAGAAAAGGAAGAGGCAGGAAACCTACTCATGTAGGCTTCAATGTAAAAACCAGACTGTAGATGTAATAAATCCCATGCCTATAAGGTAAGTGATGGGACACAAACACAGCGCACACAGGGAGGGATTGCACTCTCCCAGCTGTTGGAAATCAGACACTGACTCACAGCAACACCCTCAGCTAGGCCAACTTCTGTTCCAAGTTCACATGCGTGGACTTCATCAGGAGGTTTGCATCATACAGTAAAATTCAGCCTTAGTAACATTTTATTTCACTGGATGACTCACACACCTTCTACTCTTCTGATTTTGTAAAGGCTGATGTCATTTCACTCTGTTCTTCCACACACATTGCAGGTTGTTACATTAGGAATGCAGTTCCCTTTCATCAAGAAAGACAAAGTAAAAACGTAAAAATTAGCAATAAAGTAGAATCTTGCCATTTGAAAAAAGAAACGCTTTAGCCAGCTTAGAGATGCTGGGAATCCTCCTCATCCCGAGGAGAAAGCTTTCTTAAATGTCAGCTTTGTGCAAACCAAACTTGAAGTAAAAATGTCAGCATACTCAAAGCTTTTCTTTGATCCGAAGCTTTTCTAGAAAATACTTCAGTGTCAGTGATTAAGACATCCAACATGTGTTGGAAAAGCAGCAGGTTTATGGAAAACTCTGCAGAGTATGACCTTGCTGCTAGCCCTTCCTCCTAGCTGAGCATCCCTGTCCCATGCAGACTTCCTCTCTCTGAAACAGCCCCCACAGGCATTTTAGGAAGTATTTTTCACAAAAGCTATCCCTTTCATTCATACTTTGGGGGAAAAAAATCCTTACTTACTTTCACACAATAAAAAAATGTGTTCACTAGCTAGTTCTATTACTTAAAACCATGGTTGTTTAAAAATTCATTTAGCTTTAGGGAAAAAAAAAAATTAAGGTGCCTTGGACACAAAAAGTTCTAGAATCATAAAGTTTGTATAAAACATTCTTTTTGGACTATCTGCATCTGATGAGATCAAACATAATACTGTACTAGTCAAACAATCTCCAAAAATACAAAGACAAGGGAAAAAAATACACATTCTCTGGAACTCTGGAGTTTTTCATCCTTCCTATGAAAAGTACAATCTTGTTGCACAATACAGTAGAACATATTCAAGCTGTTCTCTGCACTGGTCTGTAAAATAAGAGTAAAAGCAGACACATTTATGCTGATAATTCTGAACAAGACACATCTTCTAAATTAAATCAATTTGAATTTAGCACAATGATGTTTTAAAATGGTAATTTATAACCTCCTATGATAACTCTAACAAAATTCCTTAAACTTTGAATTTTATACAAGTCTTTTCTGGAAAACTGATTTATTTTTTTTTTAAATTAAGATTTCCTTGAAATTTTCAGTAGTTTAGCACTTGTCTTTTGATAAGCCACCTTCAAGATTCACACAAAAAAAGATCATATTTTCAAAACAGCTATTTTTCCAAACACCAAACAAACAAACAGAAAAGACTGTGCTTAAGCATTCATTCTCACTTGTGTTCAGAAGATAAATGTTCCACTGAAACAATTAAATCAATATACAAACGACAGATATCAGAAACAGTTCCATAAATAGTTACAACTGCATATATCACTCTGCATAAACATATATATTCAGGATGAAAAATCTGGACCTTGGTCACAACCGAAAAGGTATATGTATATATATTTTTATCCACACCACCATGACAATCCAATAGAGTAAAAAAGAAAAGTTATATTTTGTTTAGAATTTTCAGACCTCAAATACTAAGACATGTAGACGCAAAGCTTTGTTTTGAGCTCACCTTTTCTGTGAGCATCACAGCCAGGTGAGGCTATAGGTACTTATTGAAAAAAGTGAAGGGCAGCAGAGCTGGGTGGGGCATGCAGAGCCGGCGCCGCTGGCAGCAGAACTGCGGGGCAGCGGTGCGCGGCTGATGCGGTGACACACAGGGGAAGCTCCCTGCCATCTCCTCCTCCACCCCACCTTATTTCTGACATTAACACAGAAGCCAGAGATTTCAGCAGGAACCAGCATCCTGCTTACCCAGAGATGGACCATCTGCTTCAGAAAACTTACAGTTCATAGCTGATCCAGTTGAAATTTTACTGATGTACTTCAGTGGATTTTCTAAAATTCATTTTATTATTTCCAGAGAGAAGTGTGGACAGGGTTGTTCCACAGGTAGGAGGTAACCTTAAGTTGTCAGTGCTAATTTAGCTAGATTTAATTGTGGAACACCCAGCCTATTTTGCTGCAAGTTCAATTCAATGAGAAGCACTTTCCACTTCTCTGATAGGAATGAAGTCCAGCCTTCATGCCTGCGCTGCTTGCATCGTGTGGCAGAAGGGCTCCTCTCCTTTGCCTCTCTCTGCCTGGTTGCTTCTGAAGCCAAAAAAAGAATATAAGAGGGGGCTTCAGACCAGAAATAAACTTTAGTATACTCTAACCAGCAGTAAAATAATCTTTGGGAAAATTACACAAATCCCTTAGAGACTCTGGGCCTTGTCCCACAACAAGAAGGCTTAAGAGTCTAAATTATATGGATGAAGCATTGGTTAGCTATGGCAAGCAGGAGGGAGGGCACAGGATCAGTTCAGTGGGTGATGTTCATCCATCTTTTGAAGATATGCAGGAGAAGCTCTATGCACAGCACAGAAATCTTACAGGAAAAATATAAAAAAAGGACGGCATGAGGAGAACTCAGATTTTGTAATTTCTAACAGATCTCCATCCTTTAAAAGAAAAGCTCATTACCATTTTAAGCCAAACTGTAAAATACAGTTTGTCTTTGACCTAAAACTTGCAGTTCAAACTTTCACAGGGCAGCCCAGAAACAGTGAAATAATAAGCATTTTGTGCAATTACTTTGTATTTAGCTTTAGATTATTTCTGCCTACATAAGTCTCTCTTGTTTCAGCCTTACAGGCAAAAGGAAAAGGTTATTTGAGACTTCTGTTTCTGACATTCTCTTTTGATTACAGACTAAATCCAAAAGAGACTACCCTGAAAGGCCAAGACAAACGTGCAACCACATAATTGGTCTGGCTCAAATGGCACTGAAATCAGGAGAAAGCATCCCCAACTCCAGAGAGCTTCAGTCTGTGCTGCAAGCCACATTAAACTTTGCTTACTGTTTGCCTGAAAAGCCATATACATATGCTACAGGAATGTTTTGCCAAGCTTGAGCTGTGATGGTAGATATGCTATAAAAAACCCTAGTCTTCTGCCAAGATGTGTATAGCACATCTGCATTATTTTTCTTGCTCGCTCGCAGAAAACATTTTAACTTGGCATAGAGCATCACATTTTATTCTAGTGAAATTCTTGCAAGAAGCACTTGGGAAGCAAAGCAAATAAATGAAGTTCAGAAATATATTTGATTCCTAACCCAGGAAATGTGCAAAGAGATTATTGTCATTTTGCTACAAAGCAGGCACTGTGCTATGACACAGGGCAATTCGCACATATGCATAAATAATGAAAGTGTGTCATAATCTGAAAGATGCCCATACAACACCCAGTTCATTAGTTTATATGACCCCCTCCTTCAGCAGATGGGAGCAGATTTGGTTTATATCAGACAACAACTAAAAGAAAATTCTCAAACATATTGTCCATGACTTCAAGGAAAGAAAGGATAAATAAAGGAATTTCAGTATAATATCATGACTAGAAGTTTTGCTCAGCTACAACATGCAGGACAGAAACAACTGGAGGTCATATATTTTATTTACCAGCACAACAGTAATTCCTGCCCTTGAAAAAAACACCACTGCCAAGATCTAAGTCACCCATCCATTAAGGTTTTTTTTATATACATTTTTGTTGCTTATTATGTTCCTGTTTATGTTGATTAAAGTGTTTTATTTACTGTAGTTAAATTAATATTGGTAAATCTTTCATTTTCAAAAAATAAGATCTAGACTAAAATTATTTTGTAATTCATAATACAGGTTTTTTTTCTTTTTTCTTTCAGCTGCTTTAGGAAAGAAGAAGGGAGAACCAAGGCATGCTTAATAATTTAGTACTTATCTATTCAGTCTTCAAAACAAAATTCTAATGCTGGCATACCTGGAGCAATACCTTCTTGCCCTGCCACCACCTGCAGAAGTCTGGCCTTCAGCAGCATGGGTGACTGCAGTGATGGGTAGAGGAACAGGACTGCCCCAAGCCAGAGGTGGTGCAGAGGTGCCTGAGAGGCCAGACTGAGAATCCCATTCCCCTTGGGACAGCAGGGCACCAACAAGGCACAAAACACCAGCCAGAGCTTGATGGGACACAGCTCTCCACCCACCTGATGCTAACTCACAGCCAGTGTGACTTACTCAGGGATGCTGTGACCAGTGGCCCCAGCCAATTAATCTTTTTGCTGTTTCTTCTCTCTTTAATTGGCTTTCACAAAGTCTGCAAGTAAGCAGCTCCCAAATGCTGTCTCTGCAGCAATGCAAAGCACAGCAGGGAAAACAGGGTGGGGAAAGAAATGCCAGCAGTAGCCCTGGCTCACGTTAGCAGCTATAAAATAGCCTCAAATTCAACTCATGGGCATTTTGGCCAGCAGTACCAACAGTCCTTGGTCTGCTGGTCAGCAACTGCTACTCCTCTCGCCAGAGCCTGCACCTGGCACCTCAGCTGAACAAAACCAACAAGGCACAGAGACCTCCATCTCACCAAGGACTATCACTGAAGATACAGGGGAGAAAGGCAGGCTCACTAGACAAATTCACTGTAGGTTGGCAAAGGATAACAAGATCCTTCCCAGCTTCCTCGCCTTTCCTACTGGGGGGAAAAAAAAAAAGAAAAAAAGTCTAAGTTATGTAGGTTTTCCAAGCCTTCTGCCAAGCAAGGTTTACAACCACACAGACCAAGGAAAAGATACCATAGCAGAAATCACGAATGCACACTATCTATCTCTGAGGAAGGAAAAAGCCTATATGCCACAGCTACCATAAACCAGGAAACCACAGATAAACAAGTCACAGTCAGTCTTAACATCCTCACAAATACACTGCCCAAACACTGAGCTGCTGCTGAGCAGCCATTTCTGCAATTAAATCCCTGTTTATATGAGAAGAACAAGAGGAGTTATTTTATATGAGAGAACAAGAGGAGTTATTCCCAGCATTATGCTCTGTTGAGGCTTGTAGCATTGACCAGCTCCTTATATATCATTACTGGAAGACCAGAAATGCAGAGGGGAAGGCAGTCCTCCTGTGGCTTAAGGAAGTTCACTCTGCAGTCATGTGCAGCCAGTTATTTCAATGATCCTTAAGAAAAAGCATCCCCCAACCATCCAAGCTCCAAAATTCTCTCTCCTGCCAACACCACTGCCCAAACCATTCACACCTGCAAAAGTCCCTTGGCATTCACCACATACACACCAAAGGGCTCCAGCACCAGTGTCACTTCACACCAAGTCCTTCACACACTCTGACCAGCTCCTCTGAAGCCTTCATCATCTGGCAAACAAGCATTACACCAAAAAAAAAACCTATACTTTTGCAAGATTTCTTGCAGGAGAACACTAAGTTTCTCTGGTGACTTACCATTTTGTTGATATTGAACCTTCTTAAATAGTAAGGAAAATTAAAATGCACAAAATCATAAATAGCACTCACTTCTACAAAATTATGCATCTCTCCCCCAAGAAACACAGCAATTTATTGTTGGTTTTGTTTTGGGATTTTTTAAATTTTTTTATCGTTGTTTGTAATTGTTTGTTTGGGGTTCTTTGATAAAGGCATTAGAAAGCAAGAAATTCAACTGTCAAATGACAACAATGGGAAGTGACTGTAGACAAAGCAGGTAAAATACTTTGTCTGCTTTGCTTCAATTTTTAAGAATATTACTAACATGGCTTTCTTTCTATACACAAGTTATAAAGCTAATTACACAAAATGCTTACAAAAAAATATTTTATGTATTGCAGTCTTTAGAATAGGAAATGTTAGCTGGAGAAATAGCTATTGGCATGTTAAAGTGTAGGTACTGCTGCACAGCCTGGATAGCTGTTCCATAACCAATAATTTAGCTGCTACATCATGTTGTACAGAAACCATAACAAAAATTACAAAAAACAAAACTAATATAAACCAGTTTCTTTGATTAACTGAGTTCACTGCTAAAAAAGTCACATTCTATTGAAAATTACTTTGTAACACCCAGAGCTGGTGGACTGTGAATACAAATACACCTCACTGCAAATGCAGATTGAAGTATGGCAGCAAAGATGGGTAAACGAAATTAAAACATGGGTGACAGTAAGTTGTTCTGTTCTTCCAATTCCCTTCTTTTCCCTCAGGTACTTTTTTTAAGGTAAAATTATTCCTTTGATTAAAAATCTGGTGCATCCATATATCATAGTTACATTAATAAGCGTTCCAGTACATCCTGACTCAGGTTTGTTCTCACAAGCTTGACTTTTAAACAAGCTCAGCTGTTTTGTTTTTTTTAAAGCTTATGATTAAGCAATTCTTCTTACAGGAATCAATGCTGTGCATTACACCTAAGTGTGCTAAACATTTCCCTTCCTGATGTCCCTCAATGTACATTTATACTTTCCAGAGTATTATCTCCAGTGCAGAGCTTTAGGAAAGGAAGCTCACTCTGAAACAGTGTTCAGAAGTGGTGCCAGAAACCTTCCACAATGCACTGCAAAAAGGACTCTGCAACAGCCACATACATTCTGCTCTCTCTCCCATTTTCTGCACATTCCTGCCTCCCTTAAAAAACACATCACACACTTCATAACACACTAAAGTACATGCAAACAATTTGTTTTCTCAGTATTATTTTTTCATTTATTTAGACTGAAAGAAATTCATACTTCTAAAAGAAAAATTATGGGCAAGCCACGCCCTCTTGTCTGGAAAGAATATGTTTTCTTCATTTGAGAGGGAAAGTACAATGGGAACAGAGGGAGAGGAAGAGGGTATGGGTAATAAATGTTGGGGGGCTGTTGGGGTTTCTTTTAGGTGTTGTTCTTTTGTTTGTACTTTTCTTTCACCTCCTGTTGTTGGAAAGATTTTTTTTTTTTAACTTCACAGCTATTCTGAAGTATCAGAAGATTTAGGAGCAAAACAGATTTTCTCTGCAAGAGCAATACTTGAACAGCAGACTTGGGAATACCTGCTTTTCATTCCAAAGAACATTTAGCATAATGATGTATTTATATAGTAAGAATTGTCTCTCAAGAATTCTAGAGAGCTCTGTTCTAACAAAATGAGCAGGATGCTTAGTGCCTTCTGTAGTTACAGGGTGTGTTGGGAATACCACTGCTGGAAAATTTGGAGCAAGACTCTGACTTTTATGACCTCAAGTGAGAATTTTGCAGTATAAGCAAAATATCACAAAGCAATTTTTCATGAAATCCTGCGCCTTCAATAAGATTACAAAAGCTTCCATTCTTAGAAATAGTGTTTATCTTCTCTGTTAATGACATGGGCACGGTTACTAACCAGATACATCAAACACATCTGCAAATGCAGGTCAGGTGGCAGCACTCTGAATAGTCCCAACACTCAGCTCAGGATGCTGCAGGGAGATGGGTGCAACCCAACACAGGCTGAAGGGTAAGGGAGCACTGCTGGGACTGTGACTGCCCAACACGCTGTGCCCAGGGAAGCTGGAGGGGCCACAGCCACAACTGGAGTATTGCAGGTGCACAGGACCCCAGAGAACACAGGGTACCACTTACCAAGCCTTGCCAGTGACCTGAGCCTCTGCAAGCATCTATGTTGCAATACAGTCCTTTGTCAGTCACTGGGAAGTTAAGAGAAACCCGTGGTGCAGTGAGAGCACTGGCACAGGACTCTCCATCAAGGCGTCCACAACAAAGCAGTGAAGCACACACAAGGGCAACCTTCACCTTCAATATCTGCCCTCAGAGGACTCAAATGAGCTTCTGTAATTACCTGGAAAGCTTGACATACAGTAAAACTTCTGGTAAAACAAACCATACTACTCCACGGAAACAATTTACCAATTTTTGTTTTTTCCTGAATAAAAAGAAAATTAAAAATAAGCTGTATCAAAATTTTTCAGTGGTTGAAACAGCAATCTCCTCCCAGCCTAAGGTAACTATAGATTTCACTGGGAAAAAAACATCACATCAGAAAAGTCTTTTTACAACAACTGGTTTTATACTAAAATATTTTAGTAACAAGATCTTGGAAGTTTTCATGAACAGCAGAAACCCCTGCACTATGCAAATGGTGAGACTGCCTTGAAGAAATTAACAGTGAAACTGAATGTAACTGTTCACACTTAAAGCGGCTCTGTCAATAAATAAAGAATAAATCAAGTTAACAAACACCTGAGCATTTATTAATTGAGAGGAAGGCAAAGCATCACAGTTCCAAGCAGGATGGGGAGAGGCCCCACCTTTCAGATGCTGTGTGTGCATTTCAGGGGGACCATGACACGAAACCCCATCTCCCCCCTTTGAGAGGGGCAGTCACATTACCATGCACTGCTGAGAGATGAGCAACACCCACCTGGAAAAGAGCAGATTTTTACATCATAGCACACCTATTTACAAATCCAGCAATGACACATTTTGGTGTCATTTGTTGAGTTTGACAGGCAGCAGCATAAGTAGTGGAAGAGAGGTTTCTGCAGCTGCTTATCCTCTGCGCTCTCCCTTTAGTACTTCTCCTTTCATTTTCAGCTATATCATTTAGGTAACATAATACCTGTAGAAAATAAAACATTTTGTCTCTGTCCTTCATGATTTTATTTTTAAATCAATTTACAAAGCAGGAAGAAGGGAACATGGAAGCTAAGTCAAAGCAGCAATGCAAAAGCAATGAGATATTCACCTCAGGGAAATTGCTTTCTACTGAAACAAGACAAGCATCTTTTTGTTGTCGTCAAAGAATTAACTAGAGAACATGCCAATAATTTATAAGGAAGTAGACATGTGCATAAATGATGGGAGGAGGGGAAGATCTACTAGCTTCTGTGCTGCAGAAAGGCAGAAGATGGTAGTAGACAAAAACCAGAAATTTTTATTCCACTGTTTCTTAAAATTATAGACAGGTAAAACACAGCTCCGACTCAGAAAAACCTTTATATATTCCTCCTGTGAATTGCACTGGAGTCTGTAGGTGCACAGTATTTGAAGTAAGAGTCTCAGTATTCTGCTGCCCCAGTTTTTCCTTTGTGCAGGAAAAAGGAATGTGAATATCAAGCATTCTTATGAACTAGGGGAGGGGAAGTAAGTGTGCAAGTGTTTAAATATAGAAAAATACTGCCAGCATGCATTAGGTGTTACTAAGGCCCTCACTACTAAAATATTAATCAAATGAAACAAAGAGGTGCAGGGAAGGACAGTCTTTCTTAATGGTAGTTTCTGGGTCATTAATTTTTTGAGTTACCCCCAGCAGTACCAGCATGGTAACCCCTTCAAATTGCAAGGAGGACGTGAATTGACTGCATGTTGCCTTCAACAACAAGTTCACCCTGGTATATATATTCAGGCGACTTCTGCTGTCCTCCAGATCTCCCATGATTACAAACAAACTTGCTGTTTCCAAACATTTCTCTTCCTGGTTCCTATCTCTCCTTTCATACACAACACAAATGCTTCTTCAGTCCCACTCCTTGAAGACAGACTGCTCTCCCTTCCCCCAGCCCTCTCCAGTGAATTCTTAAGCAAAAAGAAAAGAAACTCTTTCACAACTGTTTTTTTACTAATTTTGTCCAAAGGCTACAGAAGTTTCTGGTCCACTTCAAAGTGTTGCTGGCAGGGCCATAACTGAACCTTCTTCCCTCTTCAGTACAGGCATTACCAGAAGGATGATTATCCTTGCCCTTATTATTCCTTGCCCTTGGCTACCCTTCCTCATTTGGGAGCTAACCTACTTGCTCATCAGGTTCTTCCCCATTCTTGCCACTGCTGATTTTCCAAAGCTTCTCCCAGAGCGACCACTTGCTTGCCTCACTCAGAACATTCCATTTTGGCTCCAGCATATTCTCAGCAGAAGGCTCTTCCCCCCCTTGCAAGCAATGTCCCCACAACCCTGGGGGACAGCCATGCACAAGCTCCCTCCCCATGCCCATTAAGGAGGGAAGTGCTGCTGCTTCCACAAGAGTCAACACCTCAACTTGCAATAGGCTCCAAACACAAGTGAAAAGTCAACATGTGTCTTGTTTTAGTATCAAAAAACATGTTTAGGATGACAAATGCATACAGCCTAAAACTGCTATTGATTTCACCATCAGTGGTATCCAAAAAAACCCAAAAAAAACCCATACAAAAAACCAAAAACAACCTAAAACTTATAATCTCTCATAGTCTATCTACCTTCTGGTTCTGCAAGCTTACCCTATTTTACAAAGCAATGGCAGTTTTTAAAGCACTATTCAAAACCTTGGCTATAGGGATGAGAAGGCACAAGATCATTCCAAATAAAGAGGAATGGCAGGAATGAGAAAGAGAAAGCTTATGGTCATTACATGCAATTGTACACTAACCACCCTGATGAAGTGTGCAATTACTCCTAACAGTTTTTCAGAGTTTTCCCATGTTGTCTTTTCCCAATCTTTTAAGTTGCAGTAGAATAAGAATTGCTTATTCTACTGCAATTGAAAGAGAGAATACATTTTCCTTGGAAGAATTCCTTCTTCTGCCCAGTGCTGATACTAGTATATATTTTTACAATGCTAGATAGCCCTATTTCTTTCACTCAGATACCAACACCTAATGAGCACAGATAGTTTAAATAATTCACAGTAAAATTCCATGTTGAACATCCACCATGCACAACATAAAAGATTTTAGAGCAGTTTAGTTTAAGGCTGGGAGTTGCTAATTTGAATACCTCATTTCAAACCACTACTAACGTCAAGATGTTCAAAGCCCACTTGTATCAGCCTGGCAATGTTGGCACAGCAAGACTTTCAAGAACCTCAAATTTGTGCAAATGTCTGAAGTGAATACTCTGACAAATTAAAAACTTCAAGGAAGCAAGTAATAAACTTGAAATTTTAGGATTTACCTGGTGTGAACTCTCACACTAGCAAGGCCTGGCCAGGCAAGCTTCGTGCACTGAAAAAGTGCTTGGTTTTTGTCCTGAATACCCAGCACACCAACCCAACTGCTTCACAGGTCACTGCAGATGGCAAAGCATCTTCTGCCTCTCAAAAGAATTCCGCTGAACCAATGGATTCTCTGATACTTCACTAACTCGCTACATCCATATTTACTGTTTCATGGGAACTGTAATTCATAATATTTTGCATTTCTTCACACTAGGCAGAGGTAACATTGTGAGAGTTCCCACCTGGATTCACAGAAACAAGATTTCCCAGCTTGAAGCATCTTTTTAAAGCACAAGAGCAGCTCCAAATTAAAAAACTAGTGGTGTCATCACCACATAAGCAGCTCCTCTGGCTTCACAACATGTTAACAATACTAAACCTGAATTTTAGTACATGCAAATATAAGTATCAGTGTTCACTAGGAAAGCCTTGGAACAATTCTCAGTATTTTGCTGAGCAATGGCAAGCAATAAATATTATAATAATAGGGATTACAAAAATCTCAGTTCAAGAACACCAGAAGTGGTACAAAGCTCTTGATGCCTGCCCATCCTGAACTACAAACATTACCCTTCAGGACTGCAAATGAGCATTTCACCTCTCAGTATGTCTGCATCCAACATATTGAGACAACCTGTTTGTGTGTGATAGTGTTCATGCTATGAAATGAACTGGAAAAAGTTTTATTGCCAGATTTACTAACACCAGCAAGCTGTTAATGTCAACTTTACTCCAAAACAGTGCAAGTAACTGCCTGCAAATTTTAGACCTGCCTATCTTTGTAAGAGATTGTCTGTAGATTAAGGTTACCTGACACTGATGACCTCCGTAAGGGCATTCCACTACAAACTTCAGTTTTTAAATTACATTATATAAATTGCCAAACAGTACACTTTGTTTGCCCCAGCACATTATATAATAACTCTCTACTTGCAGGGACAACTGTTTTCTGCTTATACTTTTTAATTTGAGTTACAAAATGTTTACAGTAGAAGGAACAATGGCCCTGATTTCTTTTCAAACAGCTTCTAGATGTGCTGCAACATGCCTGTGTATCTGATTGACACCACTTTTCACTACACAGAAGTGGTGATACAACCCTGGTACTTCTCTTGCACTTTTTCCAAGGTTCCTAACATTCATACTTCACATCTCATCTGTAAGAGTAAGGCATGTGCAAAACCTATTTGCTTCTATGTGATCACCACGTAGCTGCTTTCAAAGTTGTAGAAAGAGCAGGCATACTGATTTTGAAATGCAAATATTTGGTTGAAATAACCAGTTTTAAATTATGTACTGTAACATGCGAAAGTGTGAAGCAGTAAGGGGGGGAAAAATTATATTATAGATATGACCGGGGTCTTATGCTCCTTTTCTTCAAGTCTGTGGGTTTGGAAAGTTTATCTGAGCTTATTTAGAAAAATATAGGTATGATTTTTCTAAACAACTTGAAGTTGCTGGCCTTAAAAAAAAATCATGAAGTTATTGATGGAAGAGGAGTAAATGCCTGAAGTGGAAGAAGCTGGAGCGTGCCAATTCCTCCTCCCAAGAACAGATACAAAGAAGCCTTTGTCAACATGGCTCAGCTCCACAGAGTTAAGTAGTCCCCAGAGTAGAGGGAAGTCTGTTCTTCAGCAATGAGGAAATATGCACAATCCCATACAGACATTGTTTAGCCCTCACAACACCCCGCAAAGCATCAACATTTCTACCCCATGTAAAGACAGTGCAGCCTACCTATGGCCACACAGTGAGCTAGCAGCTATTTTCAGGGAGGTAGCTGTGCTTTTTCCATGCCTATATTTACTTTTACACACAGCAGCCACTCAGCTAAATCACACCCTAGTGTAAAAGCAGCCTGTGACAAATGGACACATGGAATGATTGGGACCCACCTGAGCCATCTGGACTGGAAATGTGTGTCCAAAGTGATTGCAGCATGCTGCAGCCAGTTCCTGAACTCTAAAAACTGAGCTATTTCACATGGCTACTTCAGGACAGGTGAATCACATCTTAAAGACATGTATTTCTCTGCACTGCTTCTACATAGAGTTTATGCAGGCTCCAATCTCGTAGATTAACAGGCTACATAAACACTGCCCTACACATCAAACTGAACCAAGGTGAAGGAGATGAAGACAACCTAAGTATGAGGGTATCAATTCGTAGTATCAGTAAGAGCTGCAATTAGAGATTTGTGCATAGTCTCTGTGTAAAACAACAGCATTTAATACAAGAAATTGTGCTACAAAAGTGTCTTAAAGAAGCTAACAGTTACACAGAACAACCCATGTAAGTCTCCCAAACTGGATTTTAATTTTCACTATAGAATATGAAACAAAACCAAGGGTAAGGGTTTTGGAGATAGTAGCATACACATCTAGAAGCAGCAGCTCTCACACACTCTGACATGAACTCTCATAGTGGCAAACTCTCTGTGGCTAAACCCTGACAAGCACAAGCCTTTTCAATGAAAAATGCAGCATCTTTATTCTCCTTGTTCATGCAAATGTGACCTTTGTGTTCTTCCTCACAGACACCTTGGTACACACCTCACCTCAGCAGGAGTATCTGAGTTCAACATACTCTCTCAATGCACACCTGAAGCTTCAACACAGCCTTGGTGTGCTCAGAATCCAGGCACACACTCCATCAGGTGAGCAGGGCGGCTGCCTGACTCAGCTGTCATCCCAGCTGATTCACCATTCCATTTATTACTCCAGTTGCAAAGAGACACCTTTAACCAGCAGTACATAGAAAAGATCATGAGATATGACAGTACTTGATTACCATAAATGATATCAAAGCTTGTTCTGTCATATTTTTTAGCTTGTGAATGCTAAAAAGGCATCATTTATTGTGTGAAAAATGATTGTCAAACAACAAAAAAATCATGCTTGGATTTTCTGTTATTTCTTTTGCCCTCGAAAATAGGTATCTGAATCACTAACACCATTCACCAGTGAATGGGCTACTCTCAAAGAGTTTTAATACTTGTAAGCCCTAAGCCACAAAGGCAATGACACTTCAGAGCGCACATGCAGTGCTCAGGAGTATGAACAAGGTTCAGCAGAAGTGCAGAAAAGAAAACTCTAAAGATAAGTTACTGGTTTACATCATTGTGGTTTTCTTTTGCTAGAAAAGAAACCAGCAGATCCTTACACTCATGCAACTTATCGGCAAGCGAAGAGCAGCCCCCTCAGTTGGGAACCACATTCCCCAGACTGCCAGACACCTGAAATCTCAACGTTTGCCCATGGGGGGAAGCAGGCTACCTACAGCAACTGATGCCAGCTCACTCCAAAATGAAATTTCATGCTCATCCCAAACTACTACAGTGGAGCAGAGGGACTTCTGAATAACTGAGTATTTCCATGTAGCCCCAGCCAAAGAGAAATGCTACCCATGCAGAGCTTCTCTGCCACAGAAAATCATTTCAGAAGGCCACTCCAAACACATTCTGGAAACTTTGGGGGTTTTTGAGGACAAAACCCCCTATTTTATCAAGAAATTCTTTCTTGATAAAACAGCAACTAAACTCTACTTCAGAACAATCTTTTTGTGTGTGAGAGAGACAATAAAAGAAATATCAAAATAAATACAAACCTTTAAAAGTTCCACCTCTGAACAAAAATTAAGCTGACTTAAGTAACTCCTCAAAATGTCAGTAACCTGACTCTCAGGATACACACAACTCCTTAATTATGGACTCTGTTACTGTAACTGAAATCCAATGAAATTCAATCCTGTGGTTATCCAGAAGATAAACCATTGTAAGATCAAATGTACTCTTACTACTTTACCCTTTTTTCTCTTCAGTTTTCCATATAAATTATTTTTTCATTTAAAATATGTATCATAACAGGAAGGATGATTGTCATCACAGAGCCTGCCATGCTCCATAGGTAAAGAAAAGTATGATTCATGGGGCTCTCCAATGCCACCAGAAAAATTCAAATATAATCTACCCCTGAAAACCCAAGACCCACCACATTGGCTTCAACATACAAGGTCGAAAAGTCATGTTCTATATTCAGACTGAAACTACAGTGCACATCCTCAATAGCAGGAGAATCCTTCAGCCAGGCATTTACCTATCAATGCATTGGCTTCAGCTTCACTTGAGGTGCCTCAAGGGCCAGCAGAGCCGGCCCTGGGAACCTCTTTGATCAGGAGGGGATGGCACTCACTCATGGCAACTTTGGGAAGGGTAATGACACAGGGTAACACAGCAGTTCCCTCTGTCCCTGGATGTCACAATCACCCATGAAGCAATTCCCTCCACAGGTACTACTGCAGAGTGACCCAAGCAAGTGACACTGGTGACATTCACCACTTCCAAAGAGCAGGCTTACAGACATGAACTGCCCAACACAAATACACCCTTTTGCCTTCTCTCCTTCCCACCCCCATTCCCTGCTGCAATCCCCAGTGATCCAGTCACACCAGCCTTGATCAGAGCTGGGAACTGCACGGGTCACTCTTGGGAACAAGGCCACCCCTTCTCATGGTGGGGAGCTGCACTGCACAGATTTCATGACACTATAAACATCCAACTGCAGGGCTGCTACCTGAAAAAACTACAAGTCACACAGTGCTAAATGGGTATCACTGAGATTTTAGCTCCAGAATTTTACAAGTAGCTGTACTGGCAGATCCCTTTGCCTGGACACAGTTCTGCTGATTTCAGGGTACTTCTACCCAGTTTCTAACCAAACCTGATCACGTAACACACCACAACAAAGTAACCATTACCCTGAGCAGCCTGGTACCTACCATATATGCTCATTCCACAATTCAAAAGTATACTTACTAAGCATGGCATTCTCACAGAGTACAGCAAAAGAAGGGTTGAGACCGTTTTCTTTTTCAGATGCTTTACCTTTCAGATTTAATAGGTAAATATCAAATTCCAGACACACAGCAGACTATTTTCTCCATTGATTCATACAGCACAAACTACAGGATGCTGGCAAAATCTCATCTACTTTGTAGATGAGATACAGAGAAAAACATGAACAAACTTTTTAATAAGAGCAGAAAAGCAGAAGAGGTATTTCAGTGGTCAGTAGAGCTGGGATGACTCCTATTTATTCTTTTGTACAAATACAGCTGAATGTTAACAACCATGCCCATGCACTATGCAAGTGTAATAAAAAGAAGGTACCATAAAAAAATAGATTGAGCAGTTTGCCCTGGACTGATAAAGCAGCAAGCAAATATCACAATTGTATGGAAGCGTGCTTGGTTTGTGAAAGCACAGTGCCCACTGCTACAATCAATTCCAGATGAGGGGGAAAAAAATGTATAGAAGAGAGGACAGAGGAAAATGAGAACATTTCGCTTTCTGCCTGGAAACACAAGATTCAAAAAAGTGTCCTTCAGGGTTTCTGATCCTCAGGATATGCTAGTTTCCCCTAGAAAAATAATTCAGTTGGCTCAGATCACAGTCATGTTTCAGCAATCTGTGAATCAATTAACATACTTGATTTTATAGGCTTTGTACTTCAGTGAAAAGTATATAGATATATACTACAGACGATTATCAATTTCCATTTTTAACTAAATGTTTTCCTTTATTTCACATTGCTCAGTTCAGGGGTTTTTTTCTGAATATTGATTATGTATCCAGCTTGCTTGGTAATAAGCTCATCCAATGCATTTTCTGTCTGTTGTTGATGAAATGCTGACTATACATACTCTTAACATTAAGTCAAAGTGTTCACATAAAAAAAAGTATCAGTGGCTCTTAAATAAATATTTTAAAGTTATTTAATGGTGTATAAATTCAATATAAGTGCAACCTGGGATAGAATAGAAACAGGAATAGCCTTTTAAGTCATTATCAGAACAATCTTCATTTGGAAACATATCCCACTGACAAAGTACAGGGCAAACAAAAAATCAACATCTGAATTTGCAGAGCCCTACCACCATACATCCATTCATCACTGCTAATTGCAATTCAATTGCATTCAATAAAAGTCAACTTTTTGTTAAAAGTCCTGACGCAGTAGCATTTGCAGGACTCCCATGACAGTATTGCTGGTAGCTTAAAAATGTGAATCCTCCTCACAGGGTGAGCTCAGGGGTATGAGGAGAGTGCAGGAGAGAGTCTGGAGCGAAAGCGCGCTGCTGTGCCCATCCCTGCACAGCAGCCACCCTTCTCCTGTGACCTCCTGTGCCCATCCCTGCACTGCAGCCACCCTTCTCCTGTGCCCATCCCTGCACTGCAGCCACCCCTTCTCTTTGCTACTGCATGCCTTAAGGAACAACTCATCTAATCAGGTAACCAGCAAGATTAATAGGACAGTAGAGAATTCTTTAATTACTGGTATAGGGAATAGCCTGAGTTTAAAACAGCTAAAAAAGAAGCTCCAAGACAGCCTAAAAGACAACTAGTGCACAGCCTAAAATAAAATAAACAAATACAGTACTAGTTTCCAAAGTATCATTATTTTCTCACATAGCATCATTACATAACTCAGAAATGCAGGAGGATGAGGAAACCTTCTAAATTAGAATCTTTGATGTACATACAGCACATTCAAAAAAAAAAGGGGAAACTGCTGTGCAAAAATAATTTGTAAGAATCAGAAACAACACCAGAAGAAAACAACAGAGGGTAGAATGTAGTAGAACAGAATGAACTTTTCTGAAAAAGCCAGGAACAGAGATGCCATTGAACAGGTCAGGAACAGTTGTTTCCAAAGGCAGCAAAGGAAGCAAAGCATCAGCACTGTTATCCTCAGGACTGTTAAATCTAAATACAAGCAGCTTTTCTTTTCTCAGGGGCTTTCTACTGGAGAAAGCTGTCTAAAATTAGAGGGATATGTCAAAATAACAAGAATCACAAAATAATTCATGTAAATCGTTAAGAGATACATTCTACTAGATTTCATGGAAATCTCTCAGGCTCTCCATGCCTAGTAACAGCATGTTTATCAAAGCTGAACAAAATCACTTGAAAATACAGGTTCTAGAGGAAAATGATGAAAAACAGTTATAATGTCATCTAAAATTATTTCATAAATTCCCCTAGCTGCATAGTCGACCAGCCACATTTTTGCAGAATGCTGGAGATAACATAATGACTATCACAGCTGTTAATAAAACCTGAAGGCTGCAACAAAACCAGTATTAATAAGTGGCAGTTATGCTGTAGCATGTTTTTAAAATACAAAAGCTAAACCATTTGCTACATTCAAATCAATCATTCTGAAATAAATAGTTTAGGGTGGAATTATGATTTGCAGAACCCCAATTTTCAGGGTTTGGTATTATTATTATTTAATTTGTACTACAGCAAGCGCTCCCCTGTTTGCTGTCTCTGGCCCTACTGCAGCCCTGCACATTTCCTTATTCATAATATAGCGATCCATCCTAATATGACACACCTAACGAGGGGAAAACATGCTTTCTTCAGCACTATATGCAGAAGGGATAAAAGAGTTCTGGTAGATTGAGTTCCTTTTAAATCAGCATCTGTAGCACAGTATTCTACAAGCTAAGTTGAGACCAAGCTAAGTTGAGACTCATCAATCTAAAAAAAATGCATAACCATGTAAATAATTCTTTCTTACCAGCATCAGCTGAACACTATTAGAGCACTTATCAACTACTCAGATTTCTTGGCCATGTCCACCTTTATTTACAACACTTCTACATTAGGAAAGTATTACAGAACTTCTATGGAGGAAAAAATGGAAATACTGATTTAAATTCTACTACCATGAATTAATATTGTCCATTTTCCAATTTTCTCATATTTAAAGCAAATATATCACTGACAGACCTCCTCTGGCTTCAGTGTGTCACTTACACTTAAAAAAATCACTACTCATAAATCCTTTTAGATAGCTACACTGAAGTCAAACATAAGCACTTCCTTTACTTACATCCTTAGTTACAAACATTTAAACAATACTAGCACCAACATCCTACACTGTCAAGGACAGATACTATATGAAAGTTTCAACCCAAGTTAAAAAAATTACTTAAGAAACAGACATTATTAAGCTGTTTAACATGATGGACTCCAGAGTTTTCTGAAACTAAGAGACTTTCTTTTCAACAGCCAATTACAAGCTTGGGAAGCCTGGTGTGTCTTTTCATAGTGTCTGAGCTACAGGATCGGAGAAGGACTAAGTACAGCAATATTTTACCACATCCTTACTAGAGAGGAAAGACAGTCCTGCAATGAAGGACTCAGCAGGTCAGCACTTTATTTCCAGCTTGGTTCCGAACTGCTTGTGTGGTCCTGGATCAGCCAGTGACCTCCTGTGCCTTCTTTCTCTATGCACCCTGCAGGGATAAATCCATACTTGCCCATCTCATGCTATGACATTTGCTTGCCAATTTTATTTTGTTTTTGAAGGGAAAGACGGCAAAGCAAAGAAGAAAACTGCCCTGCTAAGAGGAGCAGGTGCTGAAGAGCCATCTCCTTGCAGATAGTTTGGGTGTTGCATGCTGTTACAACTGGTGGGTGCATCACAGCTTTGCTGCAGCACAAGCAACCCGTACAGCAAAGTACATTTCTCTTTCCTAAGGTCAAAGAAAGACGCAAAGAAAACCACAGAAGGACTTTGTGCCAGTACTCACTTGCTGCAATTAACATCGTGCTGTTGTGAAATGCATGTGTTAATGAGGTCCGTGCAGAGAATAAGCCACAGGAATACACAAAGCTGCTCCCAGGTGAGCAATCCCATACTCCATCATCTGTGTTTGGAATAAACCTACACAGCTTCCCAGCTAATGCAGGCCTGTCTTGGTAAGTAGTGATAAAAAGGAGCCCATTCCTACTCTGTGCCCTCTTTCACACCTGAAGACGCAGGGCATTGATACATACATTTCCCTTTCCAAATCACAGCATCAGGAAAGCAAAACTAACCAGACATTTCCTGTATCTTCACCACAAGATTCAGCAAATGTTTCTGAAAGGAACCAAAATACGCTAATTGTTCCTTAAATCTGAACCACAGCACTTTTAGTCTCTCCTTTTCACTTCCACATATATCTCTTTCTATAACTCAAGCTCCTATGCAGCAGGATAACTTGCTAAAATGGAATAAGCAACAGTTTTCACAAAAAAAGTACCACTCATTTTTTTACTGCATATTACTGAAGCCACATTAAACTTCTCTGAAGATACTCTGACTTCTGCATTGGAACTGAGTCAGTGAATTTTTTAACTGTGTAGGGACACAAAATGTTCAGTCTTTTCTAACAACTTGCATAACCTGCACCATAACCCTACCTCCATGTTAAAAATTAGGCAATTTGAAGTAGTTCATTCTATAATCAAAGCAAGTTATAAAAACTATTCATCTACCAGTGAGGAATATACCATGGCAGCCCAACCACACAGCAAATCAGAGCCTCTGCTTGTCTTGCAGTAACAGAGCTGGTGCCTACAATGGAACACAGCAAGTGCAACCCAGCACCAGTGAGTCTGGATACAGATGTGGAAATTCAACACCCCGGCAATGACCAGGGCAACAGCGTAAGTCATGTCACAAAGGGGAAGGTTTTATCTGTGGAGCTCTATACCAAACATAATATATATTAAAATCCATGCTTAAAAAAATTTTTAAAAAACCCAAAACAAAAGAAAACGAAGTGGCAGATTTTATTAGTTCACTTTATCCTTCTGCATATTTACTTTACTTTTTTTAATTCAAAATTACTCTATTATTTTGTTCCTCCCTTGTCCATTTAACAACATTCCCAAACCAGCAGAGCCTATCAAAGCTAAAACCTTGTCCTGCTGCTGGTGCATCACAAACATATGTTAGGAGCACTTAAATTGCAAGGCTGCAATCTGCTCTCTGAAGGAGGCTGGTAGCAGGTGTGATCGTCTGATCAGCAGAATGAACTATATATAAAGATGCAAGCAGTGGGGGGGAGGACTCCACAGCTTTGCTTTTACATATCATGCTGTATTTGTAGTCCTACTTATTCAGAAAGAGGGAGAGAGGAGCCACAAAGTTAAAACAGACAGACTTTGGCATCTTTGAGCTCAGTGTTTGATCTCACAGCCCCTCTCTCTCGACAAAGCAGGCTGTCTCTGATTTGCTGCTCATGCTGAGAAATGCACTATTTGCAATTGCAAAGAACCAACCCTCTTATTTATTGCATGCAGGCACAGTGTACAAACCCAAAGCCTCGTGGGCTTCCCCAAAGGCCAGCTTCCCTAGCAGCCCATCAGGTAAAAGGCAGGCTGCAAAGAGCTGTTGATTATAAACTGAGTTCAGATCTACCTTACACTGAAGAGTAACACAAAACACAAAAGTGAATTATCACACTCCACACATAAGTTCAGAAGGAGCAGCACACGTTTTGAAAAAAGTGACAGGAAAATTCTGAATGATAAACAGCATGTTTCTAAAACACTAATTAACTACAGAAAAACTTTTTTTTTTATTTCAGTATCACACACAATTTTAATCCCCAAGAGCGATCAAGAAAAAAATGTGGACTCATTGTGTCTTAATTCTCTCTATTCACCATGTCTCTGGCATCCACCAGCCTTTGGAAACAAAGTCTTTCAGAAGGCAACAAAACACTGGCTCACTGAATCAGAAGCAGCTTGTGAAGGCTGCTAGAGTTAAAGCAGTCTTTACACACTGTCTAATCACAGACATAATATATGGTCTTATAAAGGGTAACGCAGACCACCCATAAAACCCATAAAATCTGCATCTTCTCTGCTGCCCAGAGAAGCTGCAGGTGCTCCATTCCTGGAAATGTTCAAGGCCAGGCTGGATCAGGCTTTGAGTAACCTGGTCTAATGGGAAGTGTCCTTGCCTTTGACAAGGGCACTGGAAGCACGTGACCTTTAAGTTATAAAAAATGGCCATTAAGGTCTCTTCCACTCTATGATTCTATGAAAAAAATACATACATCTTAGCTACCATGATATTATGACATACAAAATTAGCTATTACGATTTACAGATTCCAAATAGTTTACAAGTTTTCACATAAAGCCAATTTTTAAAGCCTTTTTATTTTGTTCTGAGACCAAGCAAGTGCTGAACTATGAAATTGAGGCAATTTAGAATAAAATAGACCATTTCATATTAATTGGACTCAAGTACAGTGGATGG